AATCTCTTGTTCTTAAAATGAAATGAAAAATATTACTCCTACTAGAAAGAGTCACTACTATGTGATCTCCTAGAATGATGTCTAATTCCAGTAGTAATATGAAAGTAACTTTTGTTGTGACAAGAGTTTGATTCTAACAAATAGCACGGGAGGGGCAGTTTTAAGGAAATTTTAGAACGATACGCCATACGTCACATTAATATAAAGATATGATAAAATTAAATATTATCCACGTCTCACAAAAATAGTTTACACTGAGTTTTCAAGTACTAAAAATAGTACAAAACTCAAAACTCAATGTGGATTGTTTATTTGGGGACGGAAATAACACATTAGTGCGAGAAAAAAAGAAAGAAAACATACAAGAAAAAAGAAAAAAAAACATATAAGAGAAAAAAGACCTGATTATTGGTTGTATTATTATCTTCTGCTCGCTATATAATTGAACTTCACCAGTAAACCTAAAGTAACTACCCTAGGCTTAAATCGTTTGGTCATTTGGAGTTGTAGGCTATAACCATAACACCTCCAAGACAGCTCTAATCAAAAGTTTTTAAGAATGACTTGATTAGTAGTGTTATAAATTGTACTTTTTCAGTCCTCCCAAATTATCTTACCAAATTTTTCGTTTTATACCCTTATAAAACTTACACCTGCCATGGTACATAATTCTTGGTAGTAATTTCTATTTTATATTTATTCTGTTTCGAAATAATTACTTTGTAATAATTCAAAACATAATGATAATTTTGGGACAAAAAAAAACCCAAGATCTTGTGGTTGATAAAATATTTATCAAGTTACGAGGGGTTTAGTTAAATATGGTGGCATATAGTAGTAAGTTTACCAACCATAACAACCCTATTAATTTCTTCTTTTTTTTTTTACCTTATCCGTATTGAATACCTTTGAAATTTTTGGGTGTCAACGTAGTTGTCAAGACATTGACCCCTCGATCCAACCTCATCAGCTACTTCTCTTGAAATTTCACCATCACTTCTTATGTTAATCATTCTTGTGTCACCACTATACCAGTATATACCCTTATATTGTCTCGTGTTAAAAAAAAAAAAAAAAAAACACACACACACACACACAAACACAAACTCAAACAGATCTTAGGTTGATCTGGAACCCTAACTATTAAAATAAGTAGTACTGTTAAGCCCAAAGTAATAAGTATATTCATAATAAGTATATTCATTATTAATAAGAAAATATGTTCAACTTCCTTATTAATAAGTATATTCATAATTTTATAATTATTTTTATAATTAATATTTGAACTCTTTAACCGGTTTGAACTATATAATTCCTCAAAGTGGGACGATCAATTTACGGACAAAGATATATCCACAAAATGGACTTTTTATCATGCAATTCTTTAGACAAATCCATACAAAAATGCTAGATAGTGCTGCAAATATACATTACACTTAGAGCCTGTTTGATAAAGCCATTTAATACTTAAAATAATTGGATTAAGCATTTTTTCTTTTTAACATTTCTGATAATAAAAAATAAACATCTTAATGAATGAAATGGTGCTGAAAGAACAGTGTAAAATATAAGCAATAAAAGTTATCTTATTGTTTATTCCGTAACTACTTAATGAATTTAATATTTCTAATTCAGTATTAAACATTCAAATTTAAGCATTAACGTTTATCAAACAGGCTCTTAGTATAGATGCATATATATTTTTTTTAAAAAAGAAATTATTATTGCATGCTTGATCACGTAAAGTTAACGCCAGTAAAGACCAATTAAATCCAACATTATTAAATACAATAAGTGAAAAATAATTAATAATGTTGTCTCAAAATCATGTGAGAAAACAACTTTAAAGAAGTGTAAAGCTTCATGTAGTAATCATCATACTTGATGGACTATTATTCTTATTACTATAAGTAATTATGTTTTTCTTTTATCTTTTCGTTTTCTATAAACTATTCTCTCAACTCCACTCATAAAAACTTTCATTCTTTTTATTTTGTTTTAAAAATTTTTAAATTATTGGTGAATAAAGTCTCTCCCACTGCTGCTTTTTCAATAAAGAAATTCTTTGATTAGTCCTCCTCATCTCATCTCGAGTTCTGTGAAGTAAGAAAGCCTCAATGGAATGATAAAATAATTCTTAGTTATCCTAATTAAGCAGAATTAATTTTATTTTTGCCAATTAAGAAAATTGTGCAACAAAATTGACTTAATTCTTATTACCTTCTGCTGAAAATTCAAGTCAGGATTAATTGACTGATTTATTCAGCAACTAAAATGGAAGAAAAATTAGGAGTTCAAAATGGAATTCAATCTTAATATGTTAGTTAACCTTGTACTACAATTTAATCCAATTCCTTTTTCTGGTCAAATTCAACTTTTATTCAAAAAGAGGAAAAGGTCGATTCAATAATGGCCGCCAGCTTTTACTCTTGTTTCTTCTTCTACTCAAAATTAAAGATTTGTAAATGTCTTATGCAATGAATAGTCAGAGAAAAATGTTTCAGTCGCGAGAATGTTGAGAGTAGACTATTTTTCTTCTTTATTTGGATGATTCTCACACAAATTTGAACACGAGTAATTCATGAATATAATTTTTCACCCGTAACGTTTAGTGGCAGAACAACCTACTCAAACTTAGGGTCCTTGACTACATATTTATAGTCGACATAGATTGTCGGACATATATGGTGTAACGTTAATCATAACTATTCTCAGGAGGCTGTCCAACTGACACCGAGCCCCTTAAGGGGTACGTCGCTGGTAACGTCCTAGTTCACCTAATTATCCTCCACTCTAATTATTCTATAATACTAAATTACACATCTGCCACTAAGTTTTAGCAAATTCAATTAACTAAATAAAAAAAAAAAGAAGAAGAATATGCCCACATTTATATACTTGTGCCGTTCCTGAAAGATGGTGAATTTGTCTCTAATTGTCAAACAAGAACAAGTCCTGTGTCCAACTTGTCCACTAACCAAATCCCTTTTACCCTATTAAAGCAGAATACAGAATGTTGATGTGGCAACTTCTTATTAAAACTTTTTGGCTCCAAATGCACCATATTGCATTGACCATTCTGCCACGTGTCATCCCCTTTTTAAAAGAAAAAAAAAATCTTATCCCGATAAATAAAGATACTTTACAAAAATAACTATACAATTTTAACTCCTAACATTTATCATTTATCAATCAAATTAAAATAACATTTAAATTTGTCTATAAACTTATCCCTTTTATTACTCCACATTCTTTTGTATGATTTTTACATCGTTGTACTTTTTAATATTTTTTTACTTTGGCAAATGATTTTTTATTTTTATTTTTATTTTTGACTAAAAAAAGGAAAAAAAAAAACCAAATGTGTAGCTATTTTATTTTTTCCAAATCAAGAATTTATTTATCTATTAACACAAAATTAAAGTAGAGGGGCGCCCGCGCATCTGCCTGGGCCAAGCATCTAGTTAGTATTAACTTCTTAATTTAATTATAGACAATTTATTTAATTCATTAGCATTATTCTAAGCCAAAAACCAAGGAAGAAGTTTGAAAACAGATCTCAAGGGATTTTTAATTGTTAAATTAAGCTTCATATATAAAAACCATTGGTCCGAATCTCATAAAACTAGCTGTTGTGAGAAATCAGATTATCTATATCACATTTTCACATGTATTTATCTTAAAATTGTTAATTTATTTGAAGAAACTTTGCACGTAGATTTACTTATTAACTAGTAGTATCTCAATGCTTCATTTACGAGGTACTTAATCAAATACTTTCACATTTAAAACGATTTGTCATTCTCTTGTGTATCTATATGATTTTATTGATAAACAAAATATTGATTCTTCAAACTTTTCCCTAAGAAAGGATTATTTCACAATTTTTGAGCTCTAAATACTTTGGCGTAAGCTATAAAATATGTCTCGATAAAAAGAAAATTACATTTATCGGATTATTTGTTATTATTGTCTCGAATACATTAGTTTCGATATAAATAAATGATCAATTTAAAGTCGAATTCACGTGTTGAAGAAAATGCAAATCAATTCGCTAAAAATTTTCATTTTTTCATTACCAATCTTAACTAGTCAAAAAAAAAAAAACAAAAACAAAGGAAAAAATTAGAAAAGAAAAGAAAAGGATAGAAATCGACTTTTTTTGACTTCCAGCCATGGCAGTTTATTTTTATTTTTTTCCTTTCTGCTCCATCTTAAAGTCTCCTGTCTGTCCGAATTTTCTCCTCATTCTATTTCCAGTGGGAATTGGGATTCAGCCCTGCAAAAAAATTCATTATATACCCAAAATCTACTAATTTGTGGCATTTAAAATCCTTTAAATCCCCCCAAAAAAAGGAGGAAAAGGACAATAAAGCAACCGATATTCTACTGTAGAAAAATTAGCCATCTTTTCTCCAATAGTTGTTCTAGCTCAATTTCTTGACCGCCATAAATTGTGGGCTTAACTTAAAATCATTGCTGCTTCAGCTTTCTTGGGCAACAAAAGTTAAGGGATTCTATTCTTCCATCAAACTGCCCTACATTATTTGGTGTATTGTTCATATCTCATTCGCAAAGTGATGATTTTTTTTTTTACAGCTGTACATTAGTTTTTGGATTGTGTTTGATTAGTTTAGTCCAATCCCATTTGCTCATTTACAGTGAAATTGCATTAGTTAGTGTAAACTTCTGATCTTTATGGAAATTTTTGTGTTTTCATTTTATCTCATTTGATCTGATTCTTTAATGAACTAGAATAATTGTTGATACATTGTCTGTAGGAAACTTGGTTTTCGTATACTTTGTTAATAAAGTCTCAATCTTGGTTCAAAAATTCTATCTTTGTGGATATTGTTGTTAAAATTACATCCCCTTGTTGTTTAGAACATTATTTTGTATGCGCATTGAATTTGTCATCTCGAGCTTGGGTTTTGGAGTTTGATAGGGGAAAATAAAAAATTCGCAGTGTGATGAGAAATGAGTGTTAGAATTTGGGAAAGATGGGATGTGTATTTGGTAAACAGGTTTCATCTTCCGGGCCACCCAATGGAGAGGTTGTATATGGGAAGCAAAGGGAAAATGGGGTGGAGAGAGATTTGTCAGTGGCATCAGGAAGGAAGGATAAAGTTAGTGTAGTAGGTGGAGGGGAAGGCGGAAGTGGTGGTGGAGGTGGAGGTGGTGGTGGTGGTGGTGGTGGTAGTGGTAGTGAAGTCCAAAATGGTGGAGATCATAAGGAGAAAAAAGATGCTAGTCGGGCTCGTGGTGAAAGGAGGAGGTCAAGGCCAAATCCAAGATTAAGTAATCCACCTAAGAATATCCATGGTGAACAGGTTGCTGCCGGATGGCCTTCATGGCTATCAGCAGTGGCAGCTGAGGCAATTGATGGATGGATTCCTCGTAGAGCAGATACTTTTGAGAAACTAGATAAGGTAAGTATTCATTAATTTAGCAAACATCATGTGTTTGTAGAATGGAATTTTATGCAGGAAGATCTTATTGGGTTCTCTTTGTTGTTCTTTTGCGCAATGTATGACAAATAGATTGGGCAAGGTACTTACAGTAATGTCTACAAGGCAAAAGATTCTATTTCTGGGAAAATTGTGGCATTAAAAAAGGTGCGGTTTGATAATTTGGAGCCTGAGAGTGTTAGATTTATGGCAAGGGAGATCTTGATATTGCGTCGCTTGGATCATCCTAATGTTGTCAAGTTGCAAGGATTAGTGACATCACGGATGTCGTGTAGCTTGTACCTTGTGTTTGATTATATGGACCATGATTTGGCCGGACTGGCTGCAAGTCCTTCGATAAAGTTTACAGAGCCTCAGGTTGCATTCTGTATATTTACTTGCTTTTATCAAAGATTTTAACTACTAATTGTTTGAACAGTAAATTCTAATCTTTATTCTGTTGTGATGAACCTGTAGGTCAAGTGTTTCATGCACCAGCTGTTGTCAGGGCTTGAACATTGTCACAAGCGTCATGTATTGCATCGTGATATTAAGGGTTCAAATCTTCTAATTGATAGTGGGGGTGTCCTTAAAATAGCAGATTTTGGGTTAGCTTCCTTCTTTGACCCTTATCACAAGCAGCCCATGACTAGTCGGGTTGTCACTCTTTGGTACAGACCACCAGAACTTCTACTTGGAGCCACTGATTATGGTGTAGGTGTTGATCTTTGGAGTGCCGGATGCATTTTGGCTGAGTTATTAGCTGGGAAGCCTATCATGCCTGGCCGCACAGAGGTAAAACTGTGACATTTTCTCATTGAGATTCTGCATCACTATCTTAGGTTGGCGAGAGAATGTTGCAACAAGTACATTCTTTTGCCGGCTATGTTTCCATGTCCGAATTGATATTTATTGAAACTTCCAGAATGAGAAACTGCAACTTGTGCAACTTTTGATCCATGAATGCCTTGAAGACTTTTCTAGTTATTATTTTATAAAGTCAATTCTCTTGCAATTTCAGTGTGCATGAAGATGATCCTATTCATGTTTAGTATTCTGTTGCAATATTCCTCTGTAATTAGTTATGTTTGTGATTTGCTCCTCTGGATGTTTGTTTCTCTATTACGTGGGCTAGGTAGTTCCAAATGGTGTTCATAAAAGGCAAATCAAACACACTTTCGTTTCTGAAAATCAAGCATAATGTGCCTGTGTTGGTCGACATATATAATGGTTATGGGACAGTGTTTCTTTTTCTTGATCTTTGGATGGATTAGTTCCTAGCTATGTCGCTTAATTAATGATTTATCAGCTACTTTTGGAATGTGTTCTTGGTGGTGTTGGAATTCGGCCTGTTAACTAACAGAAGGTTTCTGGGATATATAGGTTGAACAACTGCACAAGATATTTAAACTATGTGGTTCACCTTCAGAAGATTATTGGAAAAAGTCAAAGTTACCCCATGCAACCATATTCAAACCTCAGCATTCATATAGAAGATGCATAGCAGAAACATTTAGGGATTTCCCTCCCTCTTCACTCCCATTAATTGAGACACTTCTTGCCATTGATCCGGCGGAACGTCAAACAGCAACAGCTGCTTTGAGTAGTCAAGTGAGTGTTTACCTATGCACAGGACTTGGTATCTGACACTTCTGTAAATATTCCAATTCACGGTAATTGTGCTGTATTTTAGCATGGATAATTTTCACTTATACGCCTCCTTTTCTTTCAGTTTTTCTCAACAAAACCTTATGCTTGTGAGCCTTCCAACCTTCCAAAATATCCTCCAAGCAAGGAGATGGATGCTAAACGGCGGGATGAAGAAGCCAGAAGGTTTGTACTTACAAAGCCATCATTTCTTATCTAATTAAGAATCATCGGAGGAAAAAGAATAATAACTAGCAGATAGAAGTTATGTTACAGACTGTGTACTGATATCCTAATTTCCCAGTGAATGGTGACTTTGCTGTGACAATGCATATTTCTTCTTTGTCTTTATATTAGATTTTTTTTCTTAGGTTTACCATCCATAATCTTTTTGCATATGTAGGCTAAGGGCTGCTGGTAGATCAAATGTTGATGGTACAAGGAAATCAAGAACACGTGATCGAATGGCAAGGGCGATTCCTGCTCCAGAAGCAAATGCTGAGATTCAAGCCAATATTGATGTATGTCACAAAAATGCTGTCTCATTAAGCATTTCTGTCTTCTTCCAACTCCAGCATGGTCTATCTTTCACCATAACTGTGTCCAAACATGGTGAAGGAGACGAGAAGAACACATTATTGAAGCTTTCCAAATTGTTTTTAACTGAGGACTGACTCGGTGTATTTTGTTGCTTGAAACAGAGGAGGCGATTGATTTCACATGCGAATGCAAAGAGCAAGAGCGAAAAATTCCCTCCCCCACACCAGGATGGCACGCTTGGTTACACATTGGGCTCGAGCCAATACATGGATTCGGCGTATGATCCTCCTCAAGTCCCCTTCAGTTCCATGAACTTCTCTTACGCAAAGGAACCTATTCAAACTTGGTCAGGCCCGTTGGTAGACCCTGCCGGTGTTGGCTCTGTTAAAAGGAAGTCAAAGCACTCGAAGAAGGACAAGAACTCAGTTAGGTAAAAATGACAGAGAAAGAATGTAAATTAGGGTAAGTTTTTCCATATACTTGTATCGACAAATTGCGAAATTCACACACAAGTGGTCTTGTCTTGTCGTTGTCTTGTTGTTTCAAGGCTGAGAGATGTTGTGTCAAACTGCATTGAAGCAGTGAGGTATAACCATGCTTAAATCCACATACCTATTCTTTCTTGATCAAAAAGATTCTCATCTTGTAATGTTAGTAGTATATGTTGATTTTTTCTTTGTTTTTAATCTCCCCACTCTAGTAATGCATGACAAATGCTGGCTTAGATGAGTCAGATTTTAATGAATTCTTGTCAAGCTAGCATTTGAAAGGTAGAAAGCAATCTAGTTTTACTTTCTTGAAGAAGCATCACCAGAACAGATTGAAACTAGGCTTCTGTTTGTTGTCGACGGTATCTGCTGAAGCGAGAGAATTAATCACTTTTATCGACGGTAGATTTTTGCAAAAAAAAATAAAATAAAAGAAGGCTTCCTCTATAATGTCTCCAAGTGTTAATACCACAATTTCAAAAGAAAAAAAAAGGGATAATGATTTAAGACGGAATGAATATGATTAAATAAATTATTGAAAATGTAGTTGTCGAATCGTAATAAGTATTGTGTATTGTAAACTTAAATTCATATTTTAATAAATAATACTATAATTTTTGTTGTAAAAAAAAATTATTTCAGCAAATTAATTCTTATTTTGGGCGGATAAGTATTTGCCGTAAACCATATGATTTTGATGCTAATTTGAGATTGTGACAAAAAAACAGACAATTTCTTTTTCCCTTCTGAAAATGTTGTATACTTCGTCTTCATCCCCAAATAATAATAAGTTTGATTCATTGATACGTGTAAGTGTCGGAAGAAGACACGCCCACACCTTGAACATGCAAAACTTACACATGGATCACCAGATCAAACCCACCTCTCAAACCCAAATGTCCAAATTTACGAACACCTATAATAATGATCTTCATTCTATAGACAAACTACAAAAAAAAACCAAAATCAAGCTCATTATTTATCATCTCTAAAATTTACTCAAACTTTATTCATTTTTTGGCCTAATTTGATCCCTTTTCCCCCCCAAGAGTGAACATATTTAGAGTACAATATTCACTATTTTTTTAAAAAAAAGTTAAGACAAATACAAATTAGTGGTGAAAGAGGAGCTGAATCAGCTTGGGAAGATCGTGGTGGAATGGATTCTAATTATCCTCCAATTCATAGGGGTTTTCTTCATCGCTTCTTCTACACTTGCTGCTCTTCCATTTCCTCTTGGTTTGTTTCTTCATCTCTTTTTTCCTATACAATGACTATTTACTAGTCTTTTATTCAACAACAAATTATTCTAAGTTGTTTCGGAGAATTTTTGTTACGTTATATCCCCGATGGACTATTTTTTTAGACAGAGCTAGTAAAAATTAAAAAATACAACAGAATATCGCCAAACGTATATGTAATTATTCTCTGTTTGTTCCAAAATTTATGTAATTATTCTCTGTTTGTTCCAAAATTTATTGTCCAGTTTACTATTCACTTTTAGTTTATTTTTTTTTAAAAAAATAAAAATTTAAACTGGACAATAATTTGGCTCGGAAGTGTTACAATTTTAATAAAATCGTTTTTTTTTTTTTTTTTTGTTTTTTGGCATTTGTGTTGATCGCAGCTTGTACTTCGTTTGCTGTTGTTGGGTGCTTCAAGATTGCTTCCGCGGTGCACGTGACCAGATAGGAGGACCACCTGGGCCTCCACCTCCGCCTAGACCACATGGGCTTGCTCCTGGAGGACCAGGAGCCCAAGTGGGTCCTTCATTTGCTGCTCCTTACGATCTACCTGGCCCAGCTGGTGGACAGCCTGGGCCTCCTACTGGCCTATTAGAAAGGCCTCTCCTGTAAATTAATTCTTACAGATTGCTGAATGCTGGAATATTTCAATCATTTCTGTTCGTGGAATGTGAATTTCACACACATAAATATCATTTTATGTAAGTTTTAAAGGGAATTTGTGATTTGAGAAAATAAAATTATATTTTTCATTTGCGGTCATATTTTTCTTTTCATTTTCATTGTGGTGTGAAAAATAGTATTCTTATGTTCCGAATTTTTAATTTTGAGATTATGAGAATAATTTCTTTCATTATAAGACTTATAATTTTAAGTACTCCTTCTGTCCAATGTGACTAATCTTTTGGAACATAGAAAGTATTCTCTCCATCCTATAATTATTTTACTAAAAATGAAAATTCAAATTGGACAATAATTATGGGACAGAAGGAGTAATTAATTAGAATTTTTATAATTATTATAAAGAGAATGATGTGGAAATAAAGTTGTAATCTTTCAATCATATATAGAAATCCAGCTTATGATTTACTTAATAAACTAAGTTTACTTAATGGACCTTATTTTTTGATGAAAGTGATCTGACATGAGACATCGGATTAGTGTGGACAATTTTTCGAGCATTAGATTTGTATATATGTAGCTAGACTAGCGATAATGCCAGCGCAATAATTAGTTGCCAGTGTAATAATTACTTCCAGAGCAATTTTGACATAATTTTCTAAAATTGCCCTTGTCAAACTCTAACTCTACCATTTGTTGTTGCTCTCTCTTCTATCCATCAGGCAGCAATCGTTCCTCTCTTTCGAAAGGGATTAAACATAAAGATTCTCTCAAAACTAGACCATTAAAGAGTAAAACCAGAGATTTAAATTAGTGTTCTTTATCCCATCCAAATTTGATAACTTGATGACTCTGGTTTAATTCTTCTCCTTTTTTTTTTTTCTCTCTTTTTTTGGATCACCTTTCAAGTGCCCAGTTTTAAGACTTGATTTGGTGGTTTTATATAATTTTTTTTTGACGAAATAGGGATCAATTAGATTTGAGTGCTATGATGCTATTTTCTTTTGTACTTTGAGTCTTGCCCTTACAAGTTCAAAGGCTAATTCAAATTAATTAGTAAGAGATCATGTCCCACGAAAATCCTCATGAACTGCGGCCAAGATCAAGAATTTCAGATTTCCATATTGTAAAGTAATTAATCAATTGTTTTCAATATCTTCCACTCCCTCTCTCTTGATCTCCGTCAACAATTTGCAACCCACTCTTTAGAATTGGTTATAAACTCCAAAAGAGATCTAGAAATTGCAGCTATTCAGCCTAGAACATGTTTTGAGGAAATTTTCGAGACAAACTCGAAATAGAACATGCGTCGGCGATTGGAGGAGATGCATCACGGTGGCGGCAATTGAAATCCCGATGCTTAAAGGAAAAAGAGAGCTACAACCACAAAGGACCTAACGATTAATAAAAGCAGGGAGAGAATACATATTTGATTTAAAAAAAGAGAACGGGTGAGAGATATTAAGATATAAGGGAATCCAGATAAAAGGAAATTATGGTGTTTGACTGTTAAAGGGTAATTTGGGTAAATGAGACAGATTTTGCTCTGGAGGCTAAAAAATGTGGTGGCAATATCGCCACCCATGTAGCTAAATTGAAAAGTAATTGCGTACTAGTTGCTTTTAAATTTGAAAGATCTATCATTAATGGGAAGCAACGTAACGTTTAAGGATAATGATAATAATAAACAATAAATAATTACGTGAAGTTCACAGTTGCAGTATTCGATATGAGAAAAACAAAACAAAGAACCGGGTCAATGAAGCACATCAAACTCCCATGATTTTGTCTATCAAGATTCAGGCTGAACTCGCCCCGATTGATTTATCCTTCTTAACCCCAATCAAGGCTTAAACAAACATCGTTATATCGTTTTTTTAACTCCATATTTGGTTAAAGAATGGGACGAAAATTAAAGTTGAATTGAGAAAACGAGTATTGGTATTAAAATGTGAAATTTATAATGAACGAACGATACTTTATATAAAATATGCTCCATTTCTGTCACGAGTCGACAAAAAATTAGATGAAAAATGTATTGTCGTGGTTTAAATGTGAAGTAACGTACCAACGGATAAAATATTTTCCAGTTGAATTACCATTTTTAATACAATCTATTAAAAATAAATTTTTTTTAATTGGATAACGATTTTGATACAGACAGAGGCGAACGTGGAAATACCATGCTAAACCATCAAATTGCTATGAACCCTATCAATAAAATCACCAATTTTCAAATTCTCAATTGTGAACCAACTCCCAGCTGTTTCCTGTCCTACACATGGAAATGAATCGTTCATGAAACACGAAACAAACACCAAAACACATTTAGACAACCATATATCCACACTTTTTTGTCTTTTTCTATTAAGTTTTTAACTCTTTTCTTATTTTAGGTCAAATGATTTTGTCTTTATACGGTGAACAGAAACAAATGCACCTAGATTCGACGTGGAATTTCCATTAATTTTCTCTTTTAATTTTTTTTTTTTATAAGATGGTCGGCTAGGAATGGTCAAGAGATTTTTTGAGGTACAGAATCCAATGTGGGATACTGTAATAATTTAATTGTAAAAAATACAACAGAATTTTTTTTGCGACGGTCAGAATCCCATGGATGATGAGTCAGCTTTATCCATTTCATTATGCCACCTGTGAGGTCATCAGTAATCTGGATTCTGTAGCCTATGCTTTTCATCATATTCTTAATTATAATAATAATGTCAATAATTTATTTTTTATCACAAGAAAGGACAAATAATAAAGCAAATGAATAGTAATGTTTATGGTTATTAAATTGGTTGGCATCGGATGGCAAATAATGCACACGAGATGGATTTGATGTTTTCCTTTGAATGATTAGTCAGTGTAGACATTCTGCTAAACGAGAATATAATGATATTATTACTTCTAATAGAGAATTACTGATGGATTATACTATTAGAGAATTAATCCATCAAGTCCTCAACTATACGCAAATTGCAAAGTACTTCACCAACTACAGAAGAATCTCATTCACAAGCTCAACATGTTAATTTTTTTTTGCAATGTAACACAAACTTTAATATGGAGTTTTGAATCGCAATATGGAGATTAAAATTACACGTGTGTACGTTATTATTATTATTATTTTCTTATAGTATCATCTGCTTATAATACTTTATATTATGTCAAAAAATAATATTTAATTATAAAACTTGACCATCTATCAATTTTTCTAATCCTTGTCAGGCAGTTGAAATCTTTACTTTCCGTTTTGCTCGCTGTCGGCTTCCCACTAACTAATTGTGCGACTCGTGTTAAGATGATATGGGATTAGATAACTTTGGCAACTCGTAACGAATGTTGGGATTGAAAATTGGATGACTATTTCAGAAGGTTCTCATAGTTGAGGGATCATTTTGTAACTTATTATTATTATTATTAGAATATTCCTAGTATTTTTATTATTTTCAGAAGGCAAAACAATTGGCTTTTTTTTTTCTTATCCGCACAAAATATCATTGACTAATATATGATGGTCGAGATTTCCACCGCCAATTATTTCCATGTTGAATGAACAAAATGGTCCCATTATTTCCTCACCCACTTGCAAGTTGAATCCCAAAATTGACACCACAGCATTTCATAGAATTTTCAATTAATTGAAGATGAGCATTACTTATTTTGAAGACCTAAATTGGAAAACATCTTAAAATGTGTTAATATTTTTTTTTTCTTTTTCGATGGCACGTAGCTTGTTCATACTAATCCCTATTTAATTGTGAGTCGACGAAACGTTGAAAATTTTTAAATTAAATTGTTATTCATGGTTTCCCTGAAAGAAGTACTAGAAAAATAATAATGTTGAAGAGGTAATCAAAGGAAAAGAATTGAAAAATATATATAGTAATTAAAATAGGTGTAATAAGGAAATTTATATGCGGCTGCCGTTTTTCAACTCTTCCAGCAAAACACGTGTCACATTTGTTTCCGCTTTTTCCTGGGGTCCACCATCAGCTTGCACTTTTTCTCATGTTTCTTCGTCTCCCCAGTATAAAGGTGACCCAACATCCACCCAAACGCTTCAAATTTGCTTCCATTTACCAAATATTTCAAACTATCTCAGAGGGCCATTTCAATTGTTCTTGGATAATTTCCAGAAAATTTATTCTGGGTCGGATTTGTTTTTTCTTAAAAAAATTTAATTCTATCCGTAAAGATACAGTTTTGAAATTTGCCCTCTTTGATAGTTTTGGATAAGATATCAAATTTGCTTAATCCAAGACATCTAAAATGAAGGTTTCAATGGTTGGAAGCTCTCAGATGAATCTTGCCCGGATGGATTTGGGATGTAAAGAAGCTGGGTTATGCAGTTTTAGTAAAAATTTGAGTTTTGCTAAGATCTCTTCCCAGAAGAAGAATTCAATGTTCTGGCTGGGTCAAAGTAGCGTTCCATGGTCTTCAAGATCTTTTGTTCCCTTGATTTGTAAAGCTTCTGCCTTTTCTAAAGTTGATGCTGTTGTATCTGAGAAGGTTTCTGCAAATACAAGTTCCAAAGCTGTAAGTATCTTTTTTCATTTCCCCCTGTTTTCTTGAGTTTTTTTTCCATTTCATTTTACGTTATCTGATCTGGGAATTTCGATGAGTGTCTTGTTGAACAAATGTTGATGCAATTGAAGTTAAAGCCTCTATTTTCTGGATTATTTCAGATGTTAATTTCTGTTCCGGGAGGTAAAGCAGGGGATAATTCACAGTTGTTTGGATATGGAGAATTAGCTGAAAGTGTTTAAATTTCTGCTTTCATTAGAGTTTTCGAGCCTAAAACTGAATATAAGTTGAAAAGTTATGGTTTAGAATGAAGTTCCTTTTGTTTGATCAGGAAACTCAGTTTTATGTCAACTAGAAAACCAACATATTGGGTGTTTGTGTCTCATGTGTCCTGGTTTGAAGGAAGGAGTATGCTTCAGTTTATGCTCTTGTACTCTCTCCGTCCCATAATTATTGTCCACTTTGCCCAAAAAATTTTGTCCCAAAATTATTGTCCAATTTGACTTTTTATGGATCAAGTTACACATTTTTCCTTAGTAAATAAACATTATCCATAAAATCTTAGTGGTTAAACAATTACTTATATAGGGGTATATTCGGTTGTTTAAGGTAAAATGTAGTTAAGTTTGACCAAAAATAAAATATTTCGTTTTAGTAAAACTGGACAATAATTATGGGACGGAGGGAGTACATTTTTCTGTTTAGTATTTGGTTGGAATGTGAAGAATGGATATTGAATTGTCACTGTTATAATGTACATTCCGATGAGGTGCTTTCTGCTTGAGTTGTCTTTGCCTGAACATCTTATTGTAACTTTTCAGTTAGTGTCCCATGATAACGCATTCATGAAGCTATAGTCTAAAATTTTCCATGACTTGTGCAGGACAAAGGCTTAAGATTGTATGTTGGCTTGCCATTGGATGCGGTATCAAGCTCCAATACGGTAAATCATGCTCGAGCGATTGAAGCAGGGTTGAAAGCTTTGAAGTTACTGGGAGTCGATGGGGTTGAGCTCCCAATCTGGTGGGGTGTTGCTGAGAAGGAAGCGATGGGGCAGTACGATTGGACAGGCTATCTTGCTCTAGCAGAGATGGTAGAGAAAATGGGCCTCAAACTTCACGTATCGCTTTGTTTTCACGCATCTGGTGAAGCTCGCATTCCATTGCCTCAATGGGTTTCTCAGATTGGTGAATCTCAACCAGACATTTTTTTTTCTGATCGGTTTGGCCAGCAGTATAAAGACTGTTTGTCGTTAAGTGTGGATGAGCTTCCTGTTCTTGACGGAAAGACTCCAACTCAAGTGTACCAAGACTTCTGTGAGAATTTTAAGACTGCTTTCTCGTCATACATGGGTTCTACAATCACTGTAAGTTATATTCTAAGGCACATTTGAAATACTAATGCTCATATTAATTTCAATTCACAATGTTAGACATACCGTTTCAAAAAAAAAAAAAAAACAATGTTAGACATGCTGATCTGCTGTTTTGTGTTGTTCGATCTTATACAGGGCATATCAATCGGTCTTGGACCAGAGGGCGAGCTTAGATATCCTTCTCATCATCGTCCATCAAAGGATGGTCCTCATTATGGAGCCGGTGAATTCCAGTGCAGTGATAAAAATATGCTCAGCCATCTTAAGCAACACGCAGAAGCTGTTGGGAATCCTCTTTGGGGGCTTTCTGGTCCTCATGATGCCCCCAAATCCAACGAAATGCCAGTTGCAAATGGTTTCTTTAAGGAGCACGGAGGATCATGGGAGACAGGATATGGCGATTTCTTTCTTTCCTGGTATTCAGGACAGCTGATTTCGCATGGAAATCGTCTACTGTCCCTTGCTTCCTCATCCTTCGGGGATGTTGATGTGACTATTTCTGGAAAAGTTCCGCTTCTTTACACGTGGTACCACAGCCGGTCTCACCCTGCTGAGCTGACTGCAGGAATCTACAACACAGTGACTAGAGATGGCTATGAAGAAATCGTGGAAATGTTCTCGAAAAATAAATGCAAGATTATCCTCCCTGGAATGGACCTAACCGACGAGCAGCAGCCAAAGGATACCCAATCCAGCCCAGAATCAGTAATGAAACAGGTCATATCATCTTGCAAGAAGCACGGCGTCGAAATCTCTGGCCAAAATGTGAATATTTCGGGTAATCCCGCTGGATTTGAACAGATAAAGAAGAATTTGATGGGTGAAAATGCGGTGGACTTGTTCACATATCAGAGAATGGGGGCTGCATTTTTCTCTCCTGAACATTTCCCTTTATTCACAAACTTGGTTAGAAGCTTAAGTAAACCCCAAGTACATCCAGATGACTTGCCTGTTGAAGAAGTTGAGCCTTCTCTTTCTCTACCCGGTAAGGATCGTCAAATGCAGACTGCCTAGAACATCAAGAACTACCATATTGTATAAAATGTAGCAGAACAATATTATTAGTTAGAAGTCCATTCTTCAAGCAGAGAATGTAATCTTTTAGTACATAAGGCAGAGGTATATTTAGCTCATCTTTTGTCTAAGAAACACCAAGCATTTTTCTCAGATTAAACTATCCGCAGTTAAACCCTTTTTGAGTTACGAAAACCAATAGTCATATATCGACGAACCAGAATTAAAACTTGTTAAAAAGGAGAATTACCTCAATTGTTAAATTACTTTGGTACTAAGATTGAAGTGTACAAAGTGGTATCTTTTGTTTACCGATCCATTTATAATACTCCATCCGATCTTTAATACAAGCCATTTTAATTTGTCCGAAGTTTTAACTAGTACGTATTTTTAATTGTCAAGAAAACTTGGGTCCATGTCTAATTCTTTTCTCTGAACACTTGGGTTCGTTGATACACCTGCACTTGAAGACGTTCGCTTGCTTGATTTTATGTCAACGGAAATAGTTTCTGCTCAAGAGTTCCTTGAATGAAGTATCACTTGATATCATTCCTCCAACAGAGGATTTTAATTTTTACTGCCAGCTCAATTGAAACTTTCGTGTGATTAGTATGATGGATTTGATGGTTTTGATTGATTGTTGTGGCGCCTTAAAGGCATTTCACATCGACAAATGCTGGTCGACACACTACGTTTGGGAGGATCCTACTACTATCCCCAAATGCTTGTCATCTAGTCTTACAGTAGTTTCATATGACAGGTTTTGAAGACCATACTTCTGAGAAGGACATGTTAAAAGTTTCTAGTAATGCATGCTTTAAGGATGGAAAGAGTTGACATACGCCGAGCTATTTATCCTCATAATCGCAAGATAGATTGTGATTCATTTGGAGAAGATATTATTGTTATCGAGAGTATCTCCGACATGTAAAATTTCCTCATCAATCAACATTTTGGAAGGTGTGCTTACTATCTGAGAGTGGTGCTTTCAGTTTCTGATACGTTAGTGGTGTTTGTTCTACTTAAAAGACTTGTTTAACTCTTAGTGTTTCTTTTGTGACATTTAGGTAGTTTGCACTCGTTAGAGTCTATATTGAAGATGCATTTCCTTTTGATATCTCTACTGTTTTTATGTTCTTGATTGATGTTCCTGGGTGCTTTGTGGGTGTTCTGGTTCTAGCAGTAAAAGTGCTTGTTGATGCATCCAATCTTAAAACGGTTTGTTGTACAATGTGAACCGTATAATTTGGATCTGTTGTGATTGTTCTGCATTTGCTATTTTGAGTTTATATGTTGCAATGACTGCCCTCCATCTGCTGCCGATAAATGGAAGTCCGAGAAAGCGAAAGGTAGTTGTATCATTGGAACAAAACATGGTGTACCAGAAATGGAGTTCGGTCACCTGAGATGTTTCTGGAGTTTGCTTCTGCTTGGGTCTGTGCTTTGTGACATTTAGCATTCATGGAGAGGCAGTACTCTCGGATTACCGGTTTGGGTTTCTTGGCTTCTTCTACTTCGTGGTCATTAAAGTTAATCCAGCCGCCATTTTTAACGCAGAAGCCATGACTGTTGTGCTATAGAATAAGATAATCTTGTGAGACATGGAAGATCATCATGATTGTTGGCGTGATTGTTGCTCGACTTGCATATCTAGATCTGCCTCTCCCACCCCTGACGGGTTCTAAAAAAGTGAATAATAGAAAGAACCCGAGTTGAGAACGAACAACAATACGATGTTGACAACAGTTAGTTGAACTATCTCATTGCAGAACCAATGAGTTCGATTCTCATATCGTTCATCATGAAGAACTGTGACACACTTGAATAACCAAACAGCTGTACATCAAGGAGACTAACATTCGGACTCAATCATGTTTGGAATGTTCACAAACATATTTCATTCCTAAACCGTAAAAAGAGGAAAAGCAAAGAATATAGGGGGTAAAAACAAAAAAAAGAAATTAAATTACTGAAAATCATGCAATTATTCATACTTTCAACACAGGGCTCTCCGCGTTATTCACAAGCTATCTTTGTGTCAAAGCTGCTAAGGCAGATGGCAAATGCTTGAAAGGCTGATATGGGATATCTGTAATCCATCGTGAACACATCTTTGCCTACTTTGCCAAACTGGAGAATGACCTTCTCGTGTTCCGGTCCTGCCTCACCTCCCTCTGGCGAAGCAACTAACTGAAAGTTCTTCACTGAAGCAACTGTTACCCGACCGTGAAAATTCAGACACCAGCACTGCAGCTGCTCATGCCATCTCGGGGACTTGTTTCGCAGAACCAAGGATTCTTCTCTTTGACGATCATCCAAGGGTCCAGACATGGATTTCTCAGACCGGCTTGATCTTGACCGAAACAATGTGAAGTAATCGACATTGTTAACAGGAAAGTCGAGCTGTATGGGGGCTATACCTCCCGGTTTGACTGAAGTTGCCGGGATTGGATCCATGACGCAATGCATTCTCCTTGGACCCCTACTTTTATACGCAAATAATGATATTCATAATCAGACAAATGTAAAAAGTCCAAGTCACTTCATAGATATTACATTTAATTGAAAATAGATATTTTCCTTACCGAGCTCCTAACACGTTCAACTCGTATGAAATGTGAGCTACAGGGTAGTTTCCAGCAAGGACTCTAGGGAATGATTGTTTTGAGCCCACAAGCCTAGTGGAGCGACATTTTGACATTGTCGTGACGCCATTGGGTGGAAGAGCGTCATATACAACAAACTTGGTTCCGAGAAAGTTCGACCTAGCAAAAGAAAGAACTTAAAGTTGAGCTCCTCCAGAGATTGAAATTAATTGTCGTCCAGAAGCTCAATAATCAAAAGAAGACTACACACACCTCAATTTTCCGATGTACGTTTTGTTTCCTTTAGACATTTCATCTGTTTGTAGAGTGATGACGTAGTCAGTACATGTAGGTCGCCTACATCTACGAGCAGCAAGAAGGAACTTGCCATCATCTGCCAACGCTGCAAAAATGAGGGGAAAATTAGCATTCAGATATCCACAACAAGGTGGCAGAATAAATTGGCAATGCTCTCAAGTCTCAATTCAAGAAAATATAGCAACAAATAAAGTAGACCAGAAAATGTAAATGCTTACCCTGACTTAAACTCAAGTACAAATGATATGTTTGGGTAGACTGGTTCCTTTTGATGAAACACTGGACGAGAGAATCTCTTGGACCAGGCTGAAAAACCAAAACTCTGACCATTTCATATTGTGATGACAACACTAAGCAATAATAGATAAAAAGCATATTGTTCACAGATACAAAGGATTATCAGGTACACCATTTCATGAAAGGCAAGATTCCATCTTTCAGCTCATGCACAGGTTAACATGGTTTTTTAAGAATACACAGGATAGCAATCACGCAGTCACCAGATTCCAAAACAGGCAAATCAGATGGGCAAATGTAAAGTTTTGCACAAGTGAAGGAATAACGCTCAACAAACTTTTCCAAGGAATTTTACCCCACCATCACTTTGAGAAATACCACCTAGCCCTGAAAACAATATTTTGAGTCCTTTGTCTCCAAAAGCGTTTTCAGAATCTTCTTTTTTTCATATTCTTCACCTGATAAGATTCTCTCTCTCAAAGCATCCCACTTACGTAAAAAACTCATTACTTTGAATCATTAAGAGAAGAAAAGCTAAAGACACCCAACATCCACATATTCTCCATCATGAAAAGACATAAAAATATCATCCCACAGTAAAAAAAGAAAAATCAAGACTTTCTGCATCACAATTATGTCACATATTGCCAATTTGAATCCACAACAAAAACACACTAAGAAATCAATAGAAATTACACGAAAAGTATACCTGTTTGACTGAAATAGGGAAAGTGATTTTCCCAGAAATCTGAGGAGTCTTGACAATTTCCTTCATGATTTCCCTCCAGCTTCTACACACACCAGCACACGCAACCACGTTTTTTCTCAACGGCCATTTGGATTCTGATTCTTCAATTTTAATCAAAACCTCCCTCAGCAGCTCTGATGGCATATTAGCCCAACAACTCGGCTTCAAAGCGTCATCTGTTTCAACCTCAGCAGCCACCACAGAGCTGTCCTGAACCACTCTCTGTGACCTCAATCTCAGCTTCATCTTCAATACAAAAAAAATCAAATCTTTCCCACAAACAGCAAAAAAAACCAACAACCCAATTACACTAACTTATTTACAAATGTGAGAAAAAAACCCATTTACCCATATTAATCAATCATCACAAAGAACACAAATTTTTTCAGAAAAACTGAAACTTGGGGCCAATTTTTCTGTGGGCTTTTTAAGAAAATCAAACAGAGGTGGGGGAATCTCGGCAAATAATACGTGGGTTTCAGTTACAAAATTGACGATAAGTAACTTTTAAAAAATGGGAAGGATTTTAGACTGAGTATTCAGAGAAATGGAGAAGAGTAGGGAAGATATTGCCAGCTGCAAATGGGGACTGGCAATATTTATGAATGTGAGTGCTGGCCTAGTGGATAGAGATGGATAAATATATCAAAATTGATTTTTTTTTAGGTTCAGCCAATATCTCATTGGACTGAGTCACTTTCTTTGTTTATCATTATTGTTATGTGTAATTTCTTTTCTTTCTTTTTTATTTTTTATTTTCCACAAATGCATTATTTTCCTTATGTTTATGTATATTTTCCCTCTTCTTTCTTTTTTTTTCATTTTTTTTTGGATAATACAAAATATCTAGTACAATATTCCCTTATACACTTTTTGTAGAAAAGGTTCATCTTGAAAGATAAATTATTATAAATTATCAGGAATATGGGTCATTATATGATTATTATTTTTTTAAATATAAATCGTATTTGATATCCGAATTCATCCTCCAAACATAACTGTTTTTATGAGATAAAAAGTGCAAGAATTTACAAAAAGACGTTTATTATAGTTTTATATGTTGAGAGATAAAGGGAATGGATAAGAATTACTATCCCATCGTTTGTTACGGTAATTTTACAATATTTTTTAGATAAGGAGAATGAAATTGAAAACATTTCTTCATTAGGAAAAAAGAAATATCGAAGTGATTCATGTAACATTGTGGTTACCCGAAATGGTTGGTAACGGTAGGTATTAAAGTAGAGATTTTTATTCATTTTCTTTTGGTTTTGTGCTCTTTTTATAATGAGTGTATGAGTTGAACAAATGGAATTAGTATAATCATGTAGGGCAAATACCAACATTAATACAATATAATATATATTGGATTTGATGTAAAGTGAATAAATTCAATGGTTATTTAGTTCGGAACGATATATGTTGAAAATTTAGTTCATGAATCTTCTTTATTTTCTCCCTTAGAGCATCCACAATAATATATTCTATTATATTAATAAAATATATCATATCTGTTTTTTTTTTTCAATATTACGTTTTTATTCAATTTTTTCCTATTATTACTTTATATATTCTTAGTGATACTCCTATTACATTATTATCATAAAAACAATGATCCACCTCATCGGGTGATTACTAGAAACCAAGAGTGTAGGCTTTTAGGCTAGTGACATTAAAAATAAAAAATAAAAAAAAAACAGATAAAGATAAAATTATGTACTCAGAAATATTGTTAGATGTTACTTAAAACCTAGAAATTGGTGTTGGTGTAGCCAATTATTATGGCAATAATAATTGATTGAAGTGTAATTGGAGTTAAAGAAAACGTATGTAATGGATGTACTAGTTTTAAGAAATGGTATGCTTAATTTTTTTTTTTTTTTTACTTAGCTGAAACGATAACAAAAGTAGATAAGGATATAATTATTGATTTTAGATAGTCGAAAAAGAGATCCTACACAACGATGATTAAATTAAAACATTTTATTGAAAAAGTTTTTGTCATCCGAAAACAATTTACTTAGTTCAATTCGTATTGTAGTCAAAATAGTGATTCTGAGGTACATGTGTAGAATATATACCGAAAAAGTCTTAAAGTACCATTTTTTATTCATTTTTTTAATTTTTTTTTTGTATAAAGAATGAGGTTGATAAAAAATTAAATTATGATATTTCGTGAATGGGAGACTTAGATAACAGCGTTTCACTGTTGTTTTAAGGTTTATTTATTCACTTGTTGAATAGCTCAAAACTAGTGCAGTTAGGTGTATTTTTAGTTCCAATAATCTTGATCGAATGTAGACTGGACAATTGATTTTCTTTTCTAAAAGAAATAAAATACACCAAATTTCCAATTCATCAAAATCATGCCAATAAATTTTTCCTTATACTCCCTCCGTCCCATAATTATTGTCCAGTTTGATTTTCACTTTTAGTACAATTTGAACTAAAAATAAAAACTCAAACAGGACAATAATTATGGGACGGAGGGAGTACATCAACAACTATTAAAAAACATAAAAAAAAAAAAAACAATCAAATGGTTTGGTGGTGTGCTTGACATGTCTAAATAGTTATACTGACTTAATAATATAATTCTAAAAAATATTACTCTTACGAAAGCGCTGAGAATTGCAATGAATTAATTAATGACATGTATAATATAAACACGCATCTAGTCTGTTCTCACTTCTCAGCAGGCCGAATTTTGCCGACTAATGATCAAATTTTGACATCAAATAAACCTAATATCAGTTTCACAAAGACATATATTACAAATTATTTATTCATTTATTAAGGTTATGTGTTCAATTTTAGGCCGTCAAAAAAATAAATAAAGTGACCTTTTATTTATGAATTTGTTAAAGAGTTCTAAGTTAAATGAAGTATTTCTTCCTCTTAATCAATTATTATAATTGATTGGATAAAGTTTTATAATTTTGCAAATATATCCACCGACTACAATAGAATAGAGTCACTTGACCAGCAACCTAAAGTTTAGATAAACCATTATCCAAGTTTGACTACGATAAACCGCTCGTAACACCACCATCATATTTATTCTTTTAGGTCATATTTTCATATCTGAATCCTATGAGCTGTGTTTGATGGTTTTACTTTTACAGAACTCTCGTCCCAAAAAAAAAATAGTCTATTTTATGACAAAATTACAAAATAAAATGTTTATCTGAGATGGAGAGAGCACAACGTTAAAATGTTCTATTTTTATATAATCAAAAGAATACTAAACAATTGAACAAGTGAAAACTGTAGTTTTAGCTTATAATGAAATGTTAATGACGTCATTAGGTAAAAGCTTTACACCAAAGAAAGCTATTGGCACACCTAATTAATTAATCAAGACTATGGAATAATCTCCAAGCATCTTTCACTCTCTGTAGGTTTTGTAATCTTGATCTTATCAATATTGGAACTACCTAATGATTAATAATTTTCTAGGTGCATCTATTTTGTACTTCTTCCCACCAACTAATCATAGATTAATTATAAATTAATCCGTGATTAGTTAATTACAAGTTGCCACTACTTTTCAATTAATTATTTATGAGGAAAAGAAATGTCTATACCGTTTAAATTTATTGTTCTATTCTATTTCCTTTAATGATGGTCTTCCATGTCTTACAAGATTACATCAGACGATCCAATTGTGAGTGAAAGGCCAAAAAAATCGTCAGCAAAAAGGTTAGGAAAATGTAGTTAAGTGACAAAGTATGGAGTTCATATGATATGGCAATAAATAAATAAATAAATTGGGTTTAATCTTCTTTAGTGACTAAAAAGTGTTCATTTCTGGTCGAATCCTACTCATTTTATTCCCGGTTATGGCTTTATGATCAATACACAAACTAGATTCGTAGAAATAAACAAATCAAGAAAGTAGGTAAAAGAGATGGCGAATTAAGTCGTGTTTCGTGTGTTTGTAGGTTAATATCTGAATTATTCATCGAATACGCACATACGTCATCCTATATGTCGAATTAAGGTTATAATTTTATTCTTTTTATTTTGAAATAATTCCTTTGTTTGTTGTTGCAATAAAAATAGCATAAATAATTTCAAAACAAAAATATAATATTTATTTTTTGAAGGGATACAAGTTGCTAACTTGCTGCAACACTAGCAAGTAAGAATAGAGCAATTCAGTAATAAAATAGGTATCTGAATAGCTCAAAAGTGAACTAAAATCATAACAAATTTAAAAATTCATTTGGGAGTTTTTTTGGATTCAAATCTGTCGCACAATCACACACTAACACAAGTGGGGAGAGTTTAATATAGCTGACTTTCTGAGTGGTTTTCAAGCTAACAAACAGCAAAAGTACCCGCAAGTAACACATTTTTAAGGTTTATTAATAGTATGCAAAAAGCACTAAGAAAAAGGCACTTTTGATCATCATTATATAAAGGAAAAAGGACTAAATACGATCAGTAAAATCAATCTCTATGATGTACTTTAATTTATTGTCACATATAACTTAAAGAAAGAAAAGAAGATTTTTTTGTAAGTGACAAGCTCGGGTGCGAAATCGTAAGTTCATGAGTGGGTTTACAATAACAAATCCTCTAGAGGTGTCAATTGGCAAGGTTAGAGCCAGCTCTATTTCCTCACTTTTGTTGGAGTGGTGATTTGAACTCATGACCTCCTCTTGAGAGTAAGGGTGGTTTTACCACTTAATCAACACCTCATTCGCAAGAAAGAAGATTTTGTTTACAAGCATCTTGAAGTTCGTCATCGGAAATTTGAAAAGTTCCTGTATCAATTTAATTAATTTTTTTTTTAACAAACTGAATAAAGTGATATGTGAAATGAATATTTTCTTCGTTAATCGTGTGAGTAATTTATGAAAGAAAAAAAAAATTCCAATTTCAAAAAGAATATTGTACGGAATTAATTAATCTTATAGTAAATTCATACCAGAAAAAACATATACTCCCTTTGTCTCATAATTATTGTTCAATTTGAGTTTTCATTTCTAGTTCAAATTGTACTGAAAGGTGAAATTTTAAACTGGACAATAATTTTGCGACAGAGGGAGTATTATCCTCAGCAGCATTGGAAACATTATGTGCTGGCTTAAGCTTCATTTTCGTTCAGCTGGGAAGACTGCGACCCAAGCAAAGTAATAATTGGCACGTGCACTTTTCTGTCTTAGTTTTTCCTTCTTTATTTATTTATTTATTTATTTTTTGGTGGAGGTTCCTATCGAGTAATTCATGGTACAATGAATATATATCATATTTATTTGAAAATCGTTAACCCACTTAAATTAGGTAATAATTGTGGAAATCATGCTCCATAGATTATGTTCATGATAATATAGTCAAAGCGTATATAATTGAAGCATAGTAATAATCGAACGAAAAGTTTGAAATTCGTAGCACTTTTTTTTTCTTTAATTTCTCTTCTTCCATCATTAACAGATGAAGTGCTGAAGGTTGATGAGGCTCCTGCGTCCAAACAGCCAAAAAATTAACAGTAAAATCTTTTTTTGGAAGAACTCGTAATAGTCGTAAAATATCTAATGCAATTTAGTGGTAAGACGCTTTACCTGTTACCAATAGGTAATCAATTCGAGTCACGTAGGAATAACTAAGAAATCACTATTGTTCCTTTTTTTTTTAAAAAAAAAAAAGTCGTAAA